TTGCCATTTTCAGCATCTGTCCCCTGGAAAGCAGGTGGCCCATCTGAGCCGTGATGGGGAACACGAGCAGGGCCCTTCCTTGGAGGGCTTAACTAGGCATGCTCACACCCACACCGCGTTTGACCCTGGCTCGCGAGCTGCAGGGTGGGGTGAAGGCATGTGGACGGGGGTGGGGAGAAAGAGCGAGCTGGATTCGAATTCTGGTCGTGTGGTCCTGTCGCTTTCCTTCTCTGAGCCTCAGAGTTGTCTGCAAAATCGGGATTCATTGCAAAAAGACCTAGAAGGCCTCCGGCACATGGTCACTATGGAGCCCCATTTTTCAGAGAAGGAAATGATGCCAAGAGACTCTTCAGCTGATGAAGGACTTGTACCAGGATCTCAGCTCTGGCCCCCAGCAGGCTCTTGCCAGACCCCACTTCCTGGATCCCCGCTGCTTCCAGCCAAGACTGTGACACGGGGTGACCTAAAGCTTTTGGAGAGAGCAGTGGCTGTCTGGGAGCTTTCAAGCCCATGGCTACTAATCTACGTTAGATGTCCTCTGTTTCCAGTGGGGGTGTGTCCTGATGAATCCATCATAGATSGAAAWTATCATAAGCAAAATGCATTTAATACACCCAGCCTACCTAGCACCCAGCTCAGCAGGACGGTACGCTGAAGAATCTCAGCTCTTTGCCCTTGGGATCCCATGGCCAGTGGAGCTGCAGCTTGCTGCCACTGTCCAGCACTGCAAGAAAGGATGTGACCGCCTGTTGCTAGACCAGGAAGAGATCCAAATTTGAAATGCAAATAGGGGTTTCTACTGAATGCCTAGGACTTCATCACCACCGTAAAGTCAAAAACTCACAAGCCAGAGACTGTCTGTAGCAGTTAGTGTCCTAAAATTCATATCCACCCAGAACCTCAGAAAGGGACCTTATGTACGATGTCAGGGTAGGTCCTAAATCTAACAGGACAGAGGGGGACACACAGAGTCACCAGGAGGGCTGTCACGTGAAAACAGAGGTTGAAGCGATGCAGCCACAAGCCAAGGGTGGCCAGGAGCCACCATGAGCTGGGAGAGGCAGGAGGGACCCGCCCCTGGAGCCTTCTCAGGGAGCAGGGCTCTGCCAACACCTGGGTCTTGGACACCCAGGATGTGAGGGAATAAACTCTTGTCGTTTTAAGCATCTGGTTTGTGGTGGTGGCACCATCTGGACCCCGAGATGGGAATGACCTGGGGTATCGACCTGGAGCACCTGTGGACAAGAGGCAGCCCGGATGGACCAGAGCCCACCTGGGCACGGGCTCAGCCACTCCCTTGTCAGCTCTGCCTCTTGGCTTCCTTTGTAAAAGCCAGAGCGTCCGATCCTGCTGACCCGGGCGGAGGAAGAAAAGAGAAGGCGGGTCAGAGCGTGCGCAGTGTCCTCGTAACCAGACGCGGAGCCCCAGGCGCAGCTGCCTGGGTGGTGGGCTCTCTGTTCTTGAACCACCAAGAGTTAAAGATCTCCTCCCCAAGGTCATACAGCTACGTGGGGGGGCAGAGCTGGGACTCCTACTCAGGCCATCAGAATCCAAAATGCCCCACCGCTGCCCCAGCGCCTTGAGATTACAGGGGAGGTCCACCGCGCTGGGCTACGAGGCCACTCCTTCAACGTGAGAATCCACTCCAGGGAATCGCCTTCCTCCATGGGGGTTTGATTGCTGGAGGGGGAACAGATTTTGGCCATGGACAGTTCCCCCAGGGGCCAGGTGATGGAAGGGTAGGTAACTCTCCAAATTCCATTTGCTGGAGAACTCAGGGCCAGSAGAGCCCAACAGACCGACAGAGCCTGTCACAGGGGCTCCTGGGAATTGTCACTATTCCTGAGGTCCAAGAAGGCAGGAGCTGYCTTCAGGGAAGTCTGCAAGTCACAGTGTCCCCGTCTCCATGCAGTGGTGCCAGGCCAGGGCTCCAGGTGGCTGGAGGGAGACACACAGGTAGAACCAGGGCAGCTTTCCAGATGCTGGCTTGGACAGGAGGACAAAGACCAGCCCCAGGCAGCAGAACTGAGTGTGGGGTGGGGCGCTGAGCCTCAGGGGGGTGCTGGAGAGTCAGAGATGAGGGGTGTGTGTGGTGCTGGTCTCAGTAAAGCAAGAACATCTCCTTCTCCTAGTGCGCCCCTCCCCCTGTGAAAGCCCTGAGAACCCAGCCATCCACTCCAGGAATGCAGCCTGAAGGAACCTGGATGTGGGCAAGAATTTTGCTTTGGGAAATGCACACAGGGAGGGAGGGGGAACCACCCAAAGGCCTGCAGACTGGTCCYGTGATACGTGATGGAGCCCCACGCAGAAAGCCACCCAGCCTTGCCCACGACGGCTGAGCAAGAGCATCTGAGGACAGGCGAGAGAGAGAGAGAGAGCGCTTGTAGTGTGTGCTGGTGAGAAGAGGGCAGGAAACCAGCAAGACTCCGTACGACCAAAAGAAGTCGTGGRATGGCAGATCTATGGAGATATGTGTGTGTGCATAGACATAGACACATGCAAATGTTAACATTTTCAATCACTAACATTTTAGTATACATTTTTTTCAGTATTTAAAAAATAGGCGTGTACATATATATAATTATACATGTTGCCTATATAAAACTATATATGCAGGTTGAGTATCACTTTTTCCCAAATGCTGGGGACCAGAAGTGTTTCTGATTTCAGATTTTGGAACATTCGCACATACATAATGAGATATCTTGGGGAAGAGGACTCAAGTCTAAACAAAATTTATTTATGTCCCATCTATATTTTATACATAGAGTCTAAAGGTAATTTCATGCAAAATGTATGTATATGCAATATGCATATATACATAGTGCTGTTTATGCAATATGTATATTATTTTTGTATATATATATATATTTAAAATTTTTTTTTAGCTATTGATAGACCTTTATTTTTATTTATTATATGMGGTGCCGAGAATCGAACCCAGTGCCTCACACATGCCAGGCAAGTGTGCTACTGCTGAACCACCACCCCAGATCCCCTTTTTATTTTTTATCAGTGTTAAGCAGGGTCTCCCTACATTGCTCAGGGCCTCCTTAAGTTGCTGAGGCTGGCCTTGAACTTCCAATCCTCCCGCCTCTGCCTCCTGAGTTTTATGCAGTATTTATAGTGTGCCTGCATTTTGACATGAGGTCAGGTGTGGAATTTTCCATTTGTGGCATCATGTTGGCACTCAGAAWGTTTTGAACTTTGGAATATTTCAGATTTCTGATCTTCAGGTTACAAATCTTCCATCTGTGTTGCCCTGTATGGCCACGCTATGTGTATAAGTCATGTAGATGACCRTATAACTGTGTCTATAGATAAAGGTTAGACAAACATACTGAAGGACACAGGACAAGATTTTAATGGKAGCATATGTGGTGATACATACATGCACACATGTGCAAACATACACCCACACAGGCATACTGTCATGGGTTGAAATTTTCTTATGTTGAAACCCTAACCCCTAATGGGCTATATTTGGAGATGGGTCCTTGAAGGAAGTAATTAAGGTTAAATGAGGTCAAGAGGGTGCAGCCCTGATCAGATAGTTCTGGTRTCCTTATAAGAAGAGACACAAGGGGCCTGGGGCTGGGGCTCAGTGGTAGAGTGCTTGCCTAGCATGTGTGCGGCTCTGGGTTCAAGTCTCAGCACCACAGATAAATAAATAAAATAAAGGCCCATCAACAACAACAAAAATTTAAAAAGAGAGAGAGAAAAAGAAGAAGAAGAAGAGACATCAGAGAACTTGCTCTCCATCCCTCACCCCCACCCCATGCACATACCAAGAAGAGGCCGGGGGGGGGGGGCACACAAGCCAGGAAGAGTGTCCCCTTCCAGAACTGTGCCAAAGTAAACTGCTATCATTTAAGCCATCGGGCCTCTAGTGTTTTGTTACAGCAGGGCGTGGTGTCTTTCCATATAYGTAGTAATGTGTATGGTTATACATGGTGATACAGTTTCTTACATATAGTTCTTCTCTACGGAAACCTATGTAACTCTGACTATATAAGATTGGAAGAGTGTCCATCAAAACGTCAGCCGTGGTTCTCTCTGGGCAGTGGGTTATGGATGACTTCTTTGTGTTCTTTCTTGTCTGCCTGTATTACATGAATTTTCTACAACAAACATGCTATTACTTTATGTTACTTACTACTTACGTTACTTGGTATTACCAGAAGATAATTAGTATGAAATTTTCTTCTTCCTCAAGTTGTCCTCGGTCTTTGAGGCTGGGGCAGGGCAAAGTGGCCATAGTCAAGTGTGCCTGCACCTCAGAGGTTGGGGCCAGGCAGGGACTGACCACACCTTAAGCCTTTGTGAGCCTGCTGCTGGCATCATAACAAATGTTCCCCCGTGTCTTGGTCTGTTTTCTGTTGCTGTGACAGAATATCAGGGAGTGGGTAGTTTACAAAGAAAAGAGGTTCATTTTAAATCATGGATATGAAGGCCAGAAAGTTCCAGACTGGGCGGCCACACCTGGTGGGAGTGCCTTGTGCTGTGTCAGGGCAAGGGGGGAAATAAGCAGAAGGGCAAGCSGGTGCRTGCAGAAGAAAGGGGCAAGTCCAGGAAAYGGAACTTGATTTCTAATGAGCCGCCCTCTAGGCCAGTAATCCATGCCCATTAACCAAGAGCCCAGCCGTTAGTCCCTCCTTCACAAAGACCTAATCACCTCTTAAAAGCTCAGCAGCCTTACCCTGGGGACCAAGCCCCAGCATGAGTTTTGTTGGGAACAGAGCACATCCAAACCCCAGCATCACGGAAAACATGGTTCCCTGTTCCCGAAGGGTCCACTCCTGAGTGTTTGCAGCCCAGGCGGAGGTCTGCAGATGGCCGAGGTCTGCCGATGGCTGAGGTCTGCCAATGGCCGAGGTCTGCCGATGGCCGAGGTCTGTGTGAACCAGATGGTCCCGGGGGCTGCGGCGGGGTCTGTCCCTGGGAGTTCTTGGAAGCCCGCGTGGCCTGGGGCCTGACGCCTGTGTTTCCGCCCTGCACAGCCCAGCTGGACATCATCTCCATGGCRGAGACCACCATGATGCCCGAGGAGATCGAGCTGGAGATGGCCAAGATCCAGCGTCTCCGGGAAGTGCTCGTCCGCCGGGAGTCTGAGCTCAGGTTCATGTGAGTGCCCAGGGGAGGGAAGGACGGGTGTGGAGGAGCAGCCCGGGGCCCTGGTGGCTGCGGGTGGCCTACTGCCCGAGAGGCCCTTGGACCAAGGCCTCGMATCCATTAAAAAAAATAGATCTCCTTTGGTTCTCACTGTCTCTTAGAGAAGTCAGTGCTATCCCCATTCAGACAAGACCCCGGGGTGGAGTTCAGGCCCAAGTTCTTTCAATGTTCCCCATTGGGGGAGGGGTTGGGGGGCCCACAGGTTGTACCCTGAGCTGGGGCTGTACAGATCACACCATCTGAGCTCAGATAGGCCCCAGATCAAAAATTGCTGGGTGAGCTCAGGCAGGTTGCTTAGCCTCTCTGAGCTTCAGTGCCCTCCYGTGTCCAAGGGGAGAAAATAATACCCCTCTTGTGGGGTCCCTGGCAACCCAGGTGCGTTATAGAGGGTCTTCCRAGAGAAAATTGGGCTCTGGCAGATAGAGTTTAAAAGGCAAACAAACAACAGAGGGTTAAGAGGTAATCTGGAACAACTAATAAAGAGAAAAAAAACAAGAGGTAATCTGGGCTCCTCCTGCCATCTTGGAGCCCGAGGAGGGGACTGGGGACAGACTTCTAAGGGCAAAGATCTGGACGACTTCTCTGATATAAGGATGCTGGTTCATAATGAGGATGGGGGGCCATGGGAGGAGTAGAYGGACTTCAGACAGGGCACAGGGGACGGAGGGGAAGGGAGGGGGCATGGGGGTAGGAAAGACGGTGGAATGAGATGGACGTCGTGACCCTAAGTACATGTGTGAAGCCACGAATGGTGTGAGCCTACTTTGTGARTGAAAAGAGAGACATGAAAAACTGTGCTCTGTTTGTGGACTAGGAACTGAAATGCATTCTGCTGTCGTATATGACTAATTAGAATAAATACACATTTTTTTTTTAAAAAAGTCTGGAAGACTGCAGCCAATGACACTTTTGCTGGCTCTGGACAGGGTCTCTGGCACCAAAGGGGACGCACGGGTCTTGTTAAAACTGAAGGTGATCAGGCGCCTGTCATCCCAGCAGCTCTRGAGGCTGAGGCAGGAGGACTGCGAGTTCAAAGCYAGCCTCAGCAAAGGCGAGACGCTAAGCCACTCAGTGAGACCCTGTCCCTAAAATACAAACTAGGGCTGGGGATGTAGGCTCAGTGGTCGAGTGCCCCTGAGTTCCATCCCTGGTACCCAAAAACAAAAACAAACAAACAAACAAAACCCCTGAAGGCCCTTGTGCCCGAGATGGCCTGAGTTCTCTACAGGCAAGACACGAGGTGTGCTGCACAGGAAGCCACGGATCACGGAACAGGACCCCGCGATCCAGGGAACGGCAGGTCAGTCTGTGCCAAATTCCAAAGCCACCTTCCTGCTGAGGCCGCTGGACACAGAGTCAGGGCGATGCTGTCGCCGCCCCAGAATTTTAACCAATGAAAAGTCAATAAGTCGAACTGGATTTGTGCTTCCCATAATAAATGAATAAACGAAACAATAAAGAGGCGACCTTGCTGGAAAATTCTCCCAGACACCTGCCGATCCAACCTCGCTGGAAGTGGCAGGAGCGTGATAACTCGCCCGGGCACCGATGTCTCACAGGCGGTAAGGCTGGGCGTGTGATTAACCCGCTGGGCAGATGGGGAGACGGAGGCTCAGAGAAGGTCAACCACCTGCTCCAGGCCTCCCAGGAGGCCATCGGGGCCTCGGGCCTCAGCGTCCAGCTCTTCCTGCCTTCAAAACCTATATTCCCAGTGTGACAGTGTTTGACCCTCTCTCCCGCCCCCTAAAAGGGACTGCAACATTTGTAGCTGCCATTCATTCAGCCTGTGCCGAATGTGTGTGATCCCTTCTCTTGGGAGCTCTCCGAGGAAGGTTCTAGAACATTCCTGTTTTATGAATACGAGACCTCATCCCTTTTGTCTGGAAATAAGCTAAACCAACATGCGAGCATKCGGGAGCTCTTCCCTCCTCCCCGTGTTTAGAAGGGAAGACAGAGAACATGAATACAGCTCTGCRGGACTGAGGGTCCCTGGAGGAGTGCAGAAGGAGCTCACGGTGGCTTTCCAGCTGTGGGGACAAGGCGGCCACGTTGCCTCGACTGACCTTTGCTGTGAGTGTTTACATGCGCACACACACACACACGGAAGTCCTTCCTGGCACGTGGCAGGAGCTTGGCATATAGCGGTGCTTCAGGACAAGCATAGCTAACATTTATCAAGCTCTAGTTCTGGGCCAGGAATGGTACCAAGCTCTTGACCTTTGCTCTCACTGAATTTCCCCATCAAGCCCATGAATCCACCGCTGAGGGACAGTGTCCATAGTAAACACTAGAATAAATCAAGTCATCTAAAGGCTCCCAGGACACAGCAGGATCCAGTGACATTGTGCAGGGGAAGAGCCAGTTTCCAGCCACCTCCCGCCAGAGGTCTTGCTAGGGTCCTAGAGGCAGGTGCAAATGATAATGATGCTCCCCCCAGGCCCGGCCGCGTGCAGTGCGTAGGCTGCCTGGACGTGCACCCACCTCATCCATCTCGGAGATGCRCCAAGGACTCTAAGTTGGCCAAGATAGAGGACGCAGAACACTCAAAGCTGGACAGACTCCTCATCCAGCTCCCTCAGCCTTCCCACCAACAGGCTGAGAGCCAAGGTCATGCAGGAATTGAGTCCTGCAGCTATGGCTCGGGACGGGTCCTTCCGTAGGTGCAGGGCTTGCCCTGCAGGTGAGTCCTGTTCTTATGTCCATCTGGGAGAGGAAGAAAGGGGGGCCCAAGGGATGGGCAGCCAAGCTGGAATGCACTCTGGTCCCAGGGTGTTTARTAATGAGTGAATCAAGGAGGGAAGAAGGGAAGGGAGTGGGAAGAAAGGGAAGAAATTGAAGAAGGCAGGAAGGAAAGAAGGCAGGCAGGCAGGCAGGCAGGGAGACGGGCAGGGAGGGAGGGAGGGACCGTGGAACTCCACGAGGGACGTGTCTTCCCAGCATCTTGAGCAGCGCCTGACACCCGCCAGCATCTGATGTCTGTCAGGTGGCCGTGAGTGACCCTTTCACACTCGTCACTGTCCCCAGTCACCCGCTGCACGCACACAGACTTGCACGGGGCCCCCCTTGGCACAGAGTGAGAGGGAGACAGACTCTCAGACCCCGTTCAGCATTCTCAGGCTGGGAGGGGGTAGCTCAAATGGCAGGCATGTGACAGCGCTTGGCGGAGACGCCCGGTGTCATAACAACCACAGTGGGATCCGTGTGGTCACACCWGCTCTGGAGGGACCACGTGATCGTGTTAATACCCGTCACCTCCCGCGGAGCCTGGGAGCGCGCCCACGTTCCACGGTGGAGAATGTCCTCTGCTTCCAAGGCCCCTGCCGGGTTCTGGGCCTTCTAGGAACGGGCCGGGTGGTGGCTGCTGCCTTCCTTCCCTGCCCCAAGGTCTGGGTGGTGCTTGTCCAGGCAGGCTACGCACTGCACGYGGCCGGGCCTGGGGCCTGGTGGCTCTCTTTCTGCTTGGTCACTGTCTTGCCCTTTCCTTTGGATCCGCAGCCTCTGCCCGTTCTCCCTCCCCTCTTGCCAGGACGTTGAGGAACCAGGAGAGGGGGATTTAGCCATTCCCAGGGAGCTCAGGAGTCATCTGGCTCCTCACGTCCTTGGGCTTGACCTTGGGTTCAGGGCAGAGCACAGGAGCTGCTGTTCACTGGGGCCCCTGCTGTGCCACACAGATCTCTGCCATTGGGCACTGCATGCATTGGCTGACTTGCTTTAGCAGTTCCAGAGTTCTCACAGGAATCCTGATGGGGTCTGTCCCTGCCGTGGTGAGGGACTGAAGTGGCTTGCTCAAGGTCAGTAGCTGGAACGAGGCAGAACCAGCAGTTGAACCCAAGATGTTTGTTTTGGAGGCTGAGCCCTCAACCCTAAGCCTTTATTCCCAGTGCAGGGACCCCGTGCTCTCCGCCCAGCTTTTAGAGCGYGCAGGTGGACCCTGGACCCACGCCCAGCGTCCCACAGCAGGGCTTGTCCTGCTTCATCATCTYGAGTTGAGGGCCTTGGAAACGGACTGGGTCCCACTTTGGCTCCTTGGATGTAAGGATCGATTTTGGAGCCCAGAATGACGAGCGCTGTCTTAGTCAGGGTCTGTCAGGTGACCTGCTGGGAACCGTCTGCAGAGCCCATTCCTGGAAGGATTCCCAAGGACCCCAGTGGTGGCACTGAGTGAGCCCTTATCATGGGCCCAGGCTCACTGCGAGTCCTTTGTGCCTATTGTCACCACATCTGTCAAGTGCTGAGGGACAGCTGCCTGCTGGCCCTGCCTCAGGCCCTCAAGGTCAAGTTCACAGACCCTGCTTAGATTGACAGGCTGCTGTGAGTGAACCCCAGCGGGTGCGTCTCCTCTCACTGTCTTCCCTAGCTTGTCCTCGGGTTTCCAACTTGCAAAATGGCCTTTTGAGATCCCTCTCCTGAGGCTGAGCCATCTTATGAACTTCACTAGACCAAGTCAATAAACGCCTCGGTCCCCTGGGCTGTCTGGGAGACAGTGCCCCGGGCTGCTTCTCCCTCCTGGCCTCTCTCCAGGTCCCTCCTCCTCCTGTTCTTCTGCAGGTGAGGCTCCGGGGGCTGCCAACCCCCTCGCCCTCTTCTTCCTGCCCTTCACCCGGGCCCAGGCTCACACCATTAGCTCTGAGTGTCTCCTGCAGCTTCTGGTTGCCGGGCTCAGCTCCTCTGCCTCCACCTACTGTCCTGCTCCTGCTGTTTATCTGGGTTTCAGATAATTAAGTATCTTCAGCCTCAGAGTGCGGTGGGGCTGGTTATCTCCTCTTCACACCAGCTTGCTGGATTTTCATAAGAGGGACGTGTGCCTGTCTCTTTGCTTGCTCGGCGGGCAGTGGCTTCTAATCAGCACGCAGCAGCGGCAGGGAGCTGGGCCGGACAAGGGCATATTTCAGGAGCACAGCCCCGGAGTCCCAATATTTCTAGGGTGCCCAGCCTGGAACTCCCGTACCTTC